CTAATATGGCTACTTTACTATGGAATTGTCTCCCTTAAACTTACCAAACAACCAATTTACCAGAAAATATATAGGCATATTCAAACTGTAGCTTTGTAGTAGTCTCTTTCTATACATGTATTTGTATGCTGTTTTTAGGCTTGTATACCCCACAGAAATAGATAGATATATACCCCACAGAAACCATTACTTATCATTGGAGGGTAGTTGATCCCTGGGCAGTCTGCTGATCCCATTACCATAGGCCTGTCTAAACAGCCAATGTTATGAAAAATTACAGAGAAAAACAATTCACCTAATGAGATCCTACCACGTAATATGTGATACAATCTTGATAAATGTTTATCAAATTGACTGGAGAAACAGTATGAGACACCAATAGAAAAGAGGGACCCTACTCGTAGTTATGGTAAAAAGGTGTGAAGTAGTGATAATAGTCAACTGACTATGAGGTAATAAAAAATATTTTCGCAAATGTATTTGAGAGAAAAACAACCAACCAGGAGGCAAATTGAAAAGGGCTAATGATCCATCTTTTGAAAGCCCATTATCAAACTAGATCAATCCCAATTCGAAAATACATGGATATAATACTTGAAAATGTAACATTTTATTTTTCAGAAATGCTAAGATAAGAAAAAATGCTATAGCTTGCTTAAGCTAGAGTGGGAACTTTAGATAAAACATTAATGACGTGAATACGACATCAACCCTTTCACTATATGTTCACTTACCAAATGAAACTCCATAATGGAAACATGATCTTGAATTATCAGCCAGTGTAAAAGACTTGAATGATTGATTGGTTTGGGGTCTTAGTTCTACAGCAGAATAAATATGAAGCCATGCAAGTGTACGTCTGAATGTTATGTCAAAGCCCTGGGAGATGTTTACGTGGGGTAAGTAGCTGACATTCTTAAGGTAGGCACGAAACATGATTTTAGGTTTGGTTTGTTTGCCATGACAAATGCAAAAAATCTTATTAAAAATGTTTATTCTTTCCTCCTCTATATCTCCCCCCCTCTTTCAAATGCTTTCTGAAAACGCTACAAAGAGCTTCATTCAAAACCTGGTATATTTCCCCAAGAAATCTAAATTCTTCAAGGGTGTGTATTGTTTTGGAACAGTTACTACGGAAACACATCTGAGTTACATAACACGGCAACTGATAGGAAGTTTCTACCTTTGATGTAACACTAAGGAATGCAGGAAGCACAGGTGTATCAAACATTTCCAGATATACAAGAGTTGTTCCAAATGTTATATCTGCTTCAACTTCGCATTGAAATTGGTTCTAATGGCTGAAAGAAGCTGATGTGAATTTTTCATAATCAATAGCATGTGAGTTTGCATCATACATAACTTTCCACATGAACTGACATGAGTATGCTCACTACATTCAATTAACACTTAAAGTTATTTCTGTTATAATGAATGGTAACATACCTACCACATATTAAAAAAATGCATATCTAACTAACTGTCTTGCATCACGCCCCTGGTTACCCCCTACCTCTGAGTTACCCCCACCTTTGATTTGCCCTTACCCCTGGATTATACCATACCACATTCTCTCTGAACACACATTTATGAAATGTATAGTGAGGTGAGGAACAGAGAATGGCTTCAATACTGCTTTCTTGCCCTTTTAGCCTGAGAAACATAAGAGATATATAGATACAGAAACATAGACAAGACATGGAGTCTATGTACATTGTACATGTATATTATCTAGGGGAGACATCTATTTTTTCAATACAAAATTCTTTTTACAGTGCTGCCACATTGTGAGAGATACATCCTTCTTTCAGAGTCTTTCTAAAGATATTAATAAACAGACAGATGTAATGAATATTAGAATAGACTGTAATTATAATCAAGTCATATTTGCTCATGAATGCTAGAGATGTGCCTGGATATGGTGAAATATAGAAGAGTTAACATCTTTTGTAAACTAGCTGTATTTAAGGTGCTGTTCACATAAATAAGATTCACTTCAAGACTAAAATTCTTTCAAAGCACTGAGCTTGAATGATGTTGTACAGAAAGCTGTATATATGAAAACCTCTCAATGTCAATGCTTTTTGTCTAATATCTATTCTCCCATTGACTTCCATGTTAACAAAAACTCAAAATGTGAACACCTGCCAATCTGAACACTTTTGGATGACCCTAGCAATGTTCAGATTAGACAGGTTTTACTGAATACCCCAAAAAACTACATATCCATGAATAAAAGTTACTGTTGCTACTGTTGGCAGATCAGGGGAACTCACATTTCAATTTTGGTATGCCTAGAAATGGACCTCATTTTTAAGACAAGGTACCATTTTGGAAAACGTAATTACTTTTTGAAAAATGGGTGTTTTGGGATTTGGGCTCCCTTGACAACTTCAGATCCCTCTTTGGTTAAACTTTAATTTTTCATTGAAGGGATAACGGCAAGGTAAATAACATGACAGATCTACAGCTGACCACAACAAACACTTACCAGGATGTGTGAGTCATCTTACAGTATACCCAACCCTGAGGGCCAGAGTGTAGTTATTAGGCTCTAAATAGATAAGATAAATCAATATACAGTTTTGATGATGTAAATGATCCCAAAAGTAGCTGTTTTGGCTTGAGTAATTTTTTAATGTCTTGTCTCATTTTGCAATCATTTTTTACCAGTATTTTTTTCAGTTTTAGGATATGGTTTACATGTACATGTATATCCTTTTTAGGTTCATATTTTGCTCTTTTTCTAACATAAAGCTTCTGAATCTGATTATATTAAAGCAGTTAACATATGATAAAATAAAATAAAAAATTTCAAGTATTAAAGAAAAAAAGCTAAGCAAATAATTTTCTCAATGTGCTCTTTGTATACCACTTTGTCCTATTGGAGATGGAGTTGAATACTGTTTTCATAAATTTCATAAATAGGAAAGTACTAGAAGTACCATATAATTACAGAACTGTACTGGAGTTACGTTGACATTTACGATGCACCTGTACAGATGTTTAAACCACTTGTTCAAGGTAATCAGGAAACGTAGTCCTAGGAAGTTTAGTCCTCAGGCCACAATTGGTACATGTAACAAAATATGCCCCCAGTATTATGCACCGAAAAACAATCAGTCAAATGTCAGTTTGGAAATTGAAATCAGTATCTTGTTGATAAAATCTACTTAATAGTACTAAAATACACAAAAATCAGATACCCAAATCAACTATCTAGAAACAGTGCAGTTTAAACTATTGTACTCAGAGGCCCAAAGAAGCGACACCATTAGAAAGGGTTAATTTGAGCATTATGAGAGAGTATGGATCTCAAGCTACTTGCTTTGTTGTAGAACAAACTGCCCTCGTTGTCAACTTGATTTTCCAATTTCATGTTTTGCATATATTCATTGTCTGAGTAATAGACTCAGATTATATGGCATATTCATAGATTCTATCAGTTATCACCCCTATAGTTCCTGAATATTATTGTTCAACTGTTCATTTGTCTTGCAAGTTGTATTTTCTATAGTAACCAACCAGTATATTTCCAAGCATGTCATTGTCTTAAAGAATATGATGTTTTAGGTGTCAAAGTATGTCGAAGGATCGCATTAGAATTTAATATGGATTCAATAGCCCATTGCTGTGGAACGCATTATGTCAGGGTCCCTATGGGGTGATATATGACATCTGAGCCTGGGATAGGGTTCAAAGAGGGAGGGGGTTACCAGGCAAAATGGAAGGCTTTTTGGGTGATAATGGGCTACAGGTATCCTGATTTATCAGAACCCCTTATTGATCTAATAGTCTTATATTGATCTTGCTATAGCTAAGCTAAAAGAGAGTCTTATAGATCACGATGACCATGAACTGTTTCTTGAAGGACCGATTGGGAGAATGGAAATGGAAATTGAATGTCTGTTATAATTGACCATATCTCTTCTTCCAATTCTCAATGGCTCAATCAGCTAAATGGTATATTTATATTCCCGTCTTTAGTATTCCTTTCTAATTTCTAGGATTATTGTTAAACGGTTTATCTATATTCCAATCTTCATTATTCCTTGCCGATTCCCCTAATTTCCACTCTATTATGCATTTCAAAACATGACTTAAATAACATTTTCTATAACAGAAATTCTACCCAGCCTTAGAGATAGATAAATGAAGGTCATCAAACAATTATGGTAATCATCACTTTATCCTGCAATAGTTCATTGAAGTTGATCTCAAGTTGACAGAAGTCAGAATCTATCAAAAGTCGCATATATGGTAAATCACTCAATTCCTTTGCTGACATGTATATAGAAATATCTTTAAATTGTTGTTCCAGCAGTGTATAAAAACTTGATAAATCAGAGCATAAATCTGTTACGACTTAGACGAGACATCTTTGCATAATTCTCCCATTCTGGTGATTTAGGCAGTTTAAGCAATGGGTGAAAAACGACTTTTTATGCAGACATATAACGATTGATAAGATGAGATAACCTGATTGCATCTTTTATAACGTTAAAGATCACGACACCCTGAGACATAGCATATAGAAATGTCTCTAAATGTACCATAAATGGCTATGTTCTTTTAGACTGTTACCTAGGGAATAATAATGCATCACAGAAATAAAAGCTCTCGTATAACTTAATCATTATTACATGATAAATAACAAATAACTGTCCACCCCCATTTTCCAATTTGAAAATGTAGACCTTCCCCAGGGGACTTACCAAAGGTTTGATCAGTTACCCCCTCCCATTTACACCACATCTCTTTCTTGATCATAACCTCCATTTTAATCATTGATGTCTCTTGCCTTCAAATTGAAACAATCGTTAACACTCCATCTCAACTCTAACAAATGGTCCTTATCATCACACGATTCGCTAAGGAATTAATAAAACATAAAGTTTATTATATTACATCTGAGAAAACAGTTCACTATCAATTCCCCAATTAACACCCCTGGGAAATTAATTAATTAATCTAATTAATGAAATAGCTATGGATCTCACCTTCTCATGTCTGATAACATTTCATCCCAAGTTTGTAACAACTCATCCGCAAATCCTAATTCCATCGCCATGGTAACAACTATACAATTTATCTGTCTGCGTTTGGTTTAATATTCCGTCTGCCAATTTTCTAAGATAATTTTTCTCACATTCTCTAATACTCGTAATTGGTATTTCTATGTATTGGATTTCGTATTGCTTGTTAAAGAAAGACAGGATCGTCCATTATCTATTAGGCTGAGGAAACTTGGGAAGATTATTTCTAATTTATGAACATCAATTTCTTTAGTTCTATCTGTTCATAGAGTTCATATATGAAGCACATTGCATAATTATAATAGAAATTCAATACTCCTTTTGGATAATTGTGACATTTTTCATTATATATTAATTTCCGTTTTAATCACGAGGGGGTTAGTTTTACTTGCAGTCATTTTGTCATGCTCCGATATCAGATATCTTTATGACATGACGTAAAAGTGATGTCATCTATTAATTCAAGATATGTCACCAGTTTTTATATCAGAGGGATGGTCTTACCCAGAATGCACTCGCATCTGAGAGAAGATTTACCCAGCATGCATGAGCAATTTCCTGTTCGATTGTTGTACTTAATCCAATGCTAGATGGTTACGATAGTCTGCATTATAACCCAGGCTTAAAAATGTGACATTTGAACAATAGACAGATATCATCAGATGAGATGTAATATCAAAATGTTCAAACTCTAATCTTCTGTTCTTTGTCAATGTACCATCGATTCGTAAATTACTGGTTCGCAGTTGATTGTTTGGTTATTTGTTTGCTTGTTTGTTTGATGTGAAACTAGGTCATGTGATGTCTCAATTATCCAATGACCTCTTAAGCTAACATTCATCCAGCATCTTCCAATGTATGATTGTTATGGACACCTCAAAAGTGTTCAACATGGTCATGTACAGTATACACGGTATGTACCTTAATACAGAAATCCCATATACAATTCCAAGTGAATCCACTGAACAGTTTTAGAGGCAACGCTGAACTCCTGTACTCCTGTACAGTGAGAGAATCCTAATGTACCAGAATGCTGTTATGCTTAATAATGGTAGAACAAAATGCAATTTCTATATTACATGCCACCATACAGTACACCAGGGGCTGTGTTGCAGATTAATTATTCACAGAACTCGATCATCACTGTAAATCACCATATTGATTCTCTACCAATGAAGCACCCTCCTGTCATTAACTCCATTAGAATTCCCACCCTCATCTTATGTCACGATTCTTAAACAATCAAATCTTTTTCCTCAGAAGGATATAAATGTACATTTTTTACTTATCTCCGTGAGTTACATCCTTTTTGTCATATAATGTTCTTCCTAAATTGTCAGTTTTTTATTATCTCGAAGTATCATGAAATAATCTCCGATACTCACATCCTAATTTCTGTCACGCTTTTTCGAAATGATCTCAAACTTGTTAATCCAAGGAAGTATAAAATTCAACCCTAAAGAAGAATCGTCACGTCGCGTTCCAGACCACTTAGCTAGCAGTTCAAAGTCCATAGAAATTGTCCTTGAATAATTATCGTTTTTCCTTCAGTTTTTGACAGCATCTAAAATTGCCGTTTCTAATTTAGAGATGACAAAGGTCAATACCTCAGAGATAGAAAGCTGGCTGATGTAGATGGGTTATCTAATAGAAAATGAAATTGCTGTAGATCTACCAAACTTAGCATATCACGACTATATGATGGTCCTGCAATTAAGTAATTTATTCAGTCTTTGTATTATTGACTATTGAGTCCTGGGAATTCGTTAGGCCTCCTACTCGTCAAGATAATTAAAGTTTCCTGGTTTTTGTATGATCGTTACTCCACAAGTCTCTCTTTAGAAGAGCTTGAACTTCCCTACAGCAGGGTATCCTAAAGTGCAAAGAATCGTCAATTTCACTAAGTTCTCCAATGATCGGTCATCAAAGTGTCAATCGTCATTGTATTTATTTCTACTATGGTGATTGGAACACCAGAATGGCAAATAAATGTTTAATGACTCATCTTTTGTCCTCAAACTTTCACACCTCCCTGTGGTACTTGAAATAGGTTAATTTGCATGTAATTGCCATTAAAGGTGTGAATGTTTCTTTTAATTATAACTTTCCCTTAAAATGTATTTTTTCTCTTCCTTAGTTCCTTGATTGTATATCCAATTTCACTCTCGCTGACCACAAGTCCTTTAAATCAGTTATTCTTGGATTATGCCCCATATGAGCATTTAATATATGTAATAATCTAATCCAGTTATGTATATTGAGAAATGCTATTCAATAAAATTTGCCTTTATACATTAACCATGTATCAATCATAAGTATTTACCTTCTCTATTTACCCAAATCCAACATGTAAATCAAAAAGTAAACAAAAATTTACTGACGTTCAATCATTTCCATTTTCGGTGAAATGTTTTACGATTTTTTCCTCTCAAATTAAATCAATAAAAGTTGTGTTGACATATTCATTGGATCTCGTTGGTAAGGTTGTTGTATGTATTCGGTTAACTGTTTTCACTGTGCAAATACAACCTAGTAAAACGTCATATTTTCAATGATATTAGTTATCCTTAAATGTTTACATCTGAGGCAATTCTAGATCCAGCCTTACTATGCTAAAGAGGTATTATCCATTTTTTAATCCAATCTTTTCTTCGTCTGAAGACAAGGTTATTATTTTTGTTCTGGGCGAATCTCTACCTCAGTAGATCTAGTGCTTTTCACCATTTTACATTTTCAGTTTTTACCTTTGTACTTTCCTCTCCGGCTGTCGCAATTTGTCATCACACAGCAAAATTATAGGCCTTATGACTGACTTTAACAGATCTTCCCTTACTACAATTCTCCTAACCTGTTCGTTTGGCCTTTACTCTATAGAATATATCTCTGTGATATATGTATGCTTTTTGAGACCTATAACTTCCAGTTGAATTGTTCACCTTGGAGCAACTCTATCTTTGTATGTTTCAATTCTGTTCATACCAGTGTCACTTCAAGCTTTTCAATAAATGAAAGGATATTTTTGTAAATATGTATTTTAATCATGTCTCAGACAGACAGTTTTGTTCTAGCACACTTATTTAGTTTCCTAAGGTATAATTCTCATGTTGAATAAAAGTTTAAATTTTCAATTCAATATTTTATCCTTGAATATGTGATCAACGCTATGATTGAAATTCCTATAGATTCAATGGTCTCAAATACTGATTATAGTCATTGAGACTCATTTTCCCACAGGTTTCTGGTTTGGCGAATCATACTTGACAAAAAGGAGCTCATTTAGTAAAGGTCACCCAAAAGTATTCTTCCCTGACCCCTGGAGTCATTTTCTCATGTATCCATACTCCAGATCAGCATGGTTTCACAAAGGCCCAGGGACATGTATAAATAATTGTTTACTCATGTATATGTTACTAATGATCGCAGGTATATATTCAATGTCTATAGAAATTATTGAATGTGACAACGCAGACTCTTTGAAATCACACAAAGAACCATTGGCAAAGAACACCAAAGAACTATACATATTTACTCTGCTAGAAAAACTACATAGACACCTTTATATGAATTGTGCTTGAATGTAATAAACATTTTGAAAACCTCATAAAATCGATTTTAGACGTACAATGTTATGAAAAACTTATTCTGAAACATTCAATTTTTGACATTCTTTAACATATTCTAAATCTTTTATGCAAGAAAAGCTGTTATTTTTAAATAGTAAATTTCAATCAGACTGACATCAATGTAAAATATACCATGTATCTGAATGCTGGGTATTTTCAATTAATTGATCTCTATTGCCGATCTAACATTAATAATCTAACAGCTGTTGGACAAACTTAAAACTTATATCGATTATTTTAACGACTGTAGAATCAATCACTTTAACTGTAAAAGCCAGCCAATCAATAGTTTCCGCATAAATCTGCCTTCTCCAAAAGATATATTCAATTATGCAGACAAGCAGTTAAATTAGTGGTAGATTTATAACTGAGAAATGAATATATATGTAACTTGAGTTAGTAAAAGTACATGTTGTACATGTACATTAATGAAACCTTATCACTAATTAATTTAAATAGGATATGTGTAATGAAACCTTATCTCCAATATTAATAATGTAAATAGGAGATAATTGCAATGAGTTCCCTATAATATAATACAAATATGTATATAACACAGTAACTGGTACAAAAATACACACGTATAAAAACCTTATTACCAATATAAAAAAAATAGAAGGTCCCTCGATACTTCCCAGGTACTGCTTTGTCGGGGAGACTTAACAGTGAAAAATCGTATCAGTATTGAGGAAACATCAGCAACAGACTCTTTTCTATAATTATTGTAAGAAAACCTAGTCATTGTTCAACTGAAAGGAAGGAAATCCCCATACTGGTGCCAAATGGAGACCATTAATTGTCACACCCTTCATATCAGTTTATGCCATTCAAAGAGACCACAGAGGCAAATATGGGGACCCAGTTCACAATACCCACATAGATTTTTCATCAAACCAAATCAAACCACAAGTCAAATGTAGATAAACAGCATACAGCAATAGCAAAATATTGATAATTCTGGTACCTGTAACTGAAACAATAGAATCTAGAACAAGAGTATAAAACTACAAAGTAAATAAAAATATTGGACATGGCCACTATTAGAGATATTGGTTTAATGCCACTGAGTTGGGGTATTGATTGTCACAGGAATAAAATAAAAGCCAAGTTAAGTTAGATCCCCTTGTGAGACCCCCACCTTCCCACCCTGGTGTCTCCCCGTGTGAACCTCTTTATTTGGACGTATCATGATAGACTTTCCCATGGACAGAAATACAAATTGATACAAATTCCACTTCAGTCCTGTTTTACTCATAACATGTAGCATATTGAAGATGAAGCACTCTTTTAAAGAAACAAAACTATTGGAAACTTGAAAGGGTACATTGCACACTTCAGCATCACTAGGCTATTGCTCCTTTACCTCAAATACCCCCTCATTAACGTGCATTCCGTTCAACTAAATAGCCATATCATTGAATATGAGTGGCATATCAAATTTTATACTTTTTATCAAAGTAAAAAATAGTAAAGCTTTATTGTATCGACCATGTGCATGTAGATCTACTGAATAGAGATAGCTGCTCTCAAATAATCATCCGTCTGCTAAAAATTTCAGTTTGTTCATATTTATTCTACTTGATTTCTCTCTAAAATTTGAATGAAGTGTTTGATTTTCTCGCATTTCTATACAATTTAGAGTGTTGACAAAATGGCTATATATTTTATTCCTTGGTGGTTCCCCTTTATTTCACTGTATTCCACATTTCAAAACATGACCCCCATATTTCATTCATGGATTCCAAGCCCATATTCATCATGATCATTTGTCATGTTCCACTGAATCTGACATCTAAATAATTCCCATAGATTCTATAAGAACCTGTATAGCAGTTATAAAGACCTCTTATAAACTTAATAAGCTTACAGTATTTAGTACAGTATAATGAATTAATTTAACATAGAATTTAAGAATACTTTTGAAATCATTACTGGTGTCTAGAATTTTCTTATATTTTACTTAAAAATGTATTTATTTTTGTTGAAAATGGGAAGATTTGTATAGCTCCCTTAATGTTACAAATAAATGTTACTGTGTCTATATTAGTATAACTTAAATATCATTTCTATTAATATTTCATAGCACTAAAAGGGAGAGTCAAGGTGCGAGTGACTAGACAAGACCACCCATGAGAATCAAACACTGAAGACCATAATA